GCGTCGTCGTTGCGCAGTGTTTTCGGGTGGGCAATACCCAATTTCCATCTACTTTGAATACGGTCCCAGCGATCGCAGTGACTACGGTTCATTTCAATGTGAATCGCAGTCTATTAGATTGAGGTTGCGTGTCGCAATCCAATCACACAACGTGTAATCCAAAACTTGACCCTGCAATTAGTCATCTACCGTTGTGACAAAAAGCATTGCCCATCGTGACCCGGTAGCCAAAGGGGTAGTAGTGTTGGCTGCTATTCCAATGGTCCTGGGTTCAAATCCTGCTGTCTCCACCTGATGAGATGAAAATTACATCGAAACGCGTCGTGGTTGTGCAGTGTTTTCGGGTGGGCAATACCCAATTTCCATCTACTTTGAATACGGTCCCAGCGATCGCAGTGACTACGGTTCATTTCAATGTGAATCGCAGTCTATTAAATTGAGGTTGCGTGTCGCAATCCAATCACACAACGTGTAATCCAAAACTTGACCCTGCAATTAGTCATCTACCGTTGTGACAAAAAGCATTGCCCATCGTGACCCGGTAGCCAAAGGGGTAGTAGTGTTGGCTGCTATTCCAATGGTCCTGGGTTCAAATCCTGCTGTCTCCACCTGATGAGATGAAAATTACATCGAAACGCGTCGTGGTTGTGCAGTGTTTTCGGGTGGGCAATACCCAATTTCCATCTACTTTGAATACGGTCCCAGCGATCGCAGTGACTACGGTTCATTTCAATGTGAATCGCAGTCTATTAAATTGAGGTTGCGTGTCGCAATCCAATCACACAACGTGTAATCCAAAACTTGACCCTGCAATTAGGTCGTTTCCATGTTTTGGAGTTGACTGCAGAGCGCCATTGTCCTATAAAAAAGCAGCGAATAGCCATTTCAAATCGCCGGGTTCTTCATTTCCGAGGAAATCACAACTAAAACGGGTAAAGCATTCCACGGACAGCATAAAGTACCGCGATGGAAGAGCAGTCTCAACTTTTCTGAAAGAACTACTGAAAGCAACGAGGGGGGAAAAAGAACTCTTCATTCACTAATGGTTGTCAATAATCGAAATAACAGCACAAAAAAGATGGCCGAAAGTAAAATAAATTAATGAACCTGCGCAATCAATGATATTCGGATTTATACTTACGTGTCAAAACGATTGTAACCAGAAGCAACAAGAGAACCCTTCTGTTCAGCGACTGAACTTTCGGTACCCATGAAGACCACGTAGGAGAGGGATACTGGATGAGTACTCTCTAAGTTGAGCACTGTTTAAACCTAAATAAGAGCTAACATTTGGCATCCAAAGGATTAGATAATAGCTGGTCAGTTAGAGTGTATGTTTAGGAAGCATTTAGGCCTCTCACAAGTGCTGAAAAGATGAAGTAGACCATGAGCTCCTTAGGGCGACATGACGGGGTTGTAAAACAGTTGAAGGTTTACATAGTTGATTAGCATAAAATTAAGGGAAAGTGGATCAAGCCACTGCGTTCCGGTAGGAAATAAAAGGTAAAGCCAGTTTGGAAGCAATAAGGACAAGCGGGTAAGTATCTAGAAAAAAGCTGATGAAAAGGTCAAAAGCAAGAAGGCCTTGGGTGCAACAACGATATGCAGGCTTTGGTGATCCAAGACATCCAATTTTTTAAGATCTTCAGGCAAAATGGCCACATTTTATAGCCATTTGGTAACACTGATTGCATTGCAGCGTTGCACGCCATTTGTTCTATGGAGCGACATCGGGGCTTCAGTCATATGATATACCTGAGGAGATGGTTGTCTGAGCAAGCAAAGTTAAGCAGATCGTTCCAATAGTCCGTCCCCAGTGAAGCTCCATACGTATTAGTATGGTCCATTGCTGTTCGCCCTATATGCAAAGGAACTGCCCGGATTATTAGGATACCGGCCCTCATGCCCTGTGACTAGCCTCGATGGCCTCCAGGATTTACAACGGGCAGTTGATAGGCATTGTGACTGGTCTGTTCTGTGACGGATGCCAACTAATTATGCTGTGTGTTACGTCAATAATCAAGTGATCTACCAACACATTGTCTGCTTGGTGCAAACGAACTACCTCCAGTTTTTCAGCAGGTTCACTTGGGTGACGTTTAATCCGATTCTAAGTCGAGTGAGAACTAAAGGAAAGCTGCCGACATAAGGTTCGAAATGCTGTGGACGATCTGCACGTTATTCAGAATCATCACATTAGAAACTTTGACCAGACTGTTCCCAGCTTTGGCAAGACGGCACCTGGAATGCTGCGTCCAAGCTTATCTACCATGAATGGTTCATGAGAAGATATCAGCAGAGCGGTACCAAACCAGTTCAAAAGTTACGTCAATTATCGTGTCCTAAAATCTTTCTCCAATTTAGGATGTTTTTCCTACACTACTGACAACATCGTGGCGATTTGGCTACAACCCATCGCATACTGATAGGGAAGAAAGTTTATCGTGGCTTCTTTGGCCAACTCCATTAAGTGCAAGTTTAGGTTTAAATGGGACAGGAACGATAGAAGAATCCCGCGCAGGTCCCACTCTGGGAATGTCCTTGCGCCAGGGTAGATTCATCATTTATCAGTGTACACGTTAGCTAGATGCGGACACCTCAACTATTATGGCACAATACACAAGGAAAGAAAAAAACTGCAATCGAGCACGCCAAATGAATCACCAGTAACGGATGGGCATCGTTCCGGAAAGATACTAGCCGGGTACAATGCAGCAAAAAATATTGCTATGAAAAATTTATAAAGTACTAAGAAATGAGATCATGGTTAGAGAGGGAAGTTAAACGGAAGAGGGAGGGACAAAGAAACTCACAACACAAACGCTATTGAGGTCGGTTCCTAGCCATGCCAAGAAGTGTATTCAGCCGAACGTGTTCATTGTCCTTCGCTCCCCAACCAGGGAACCGAGAGGCGCTAACCGAGGCCAACTTCGAAGTAAGGACCTTCATTCCTCTAGACCAAGTCTTCGCTTGATCACCTCTCTTCTTCCATCCACACCTCCGACGCACCTGGCTGGAATAGATTGGTTGGCATGCGCAACACTTGGCTCAGTCATCGGAGTTTGGTGGGTGAAATAATGGTGCTGAGCGGTTCAGTTCCTCTTTCTGGGCCATAAACAAGACGTCCAATACGTCCACTGCTCAAGCAGTATTCCCATCAGATATGAGCCAAACTGCAAAGACACCAGTGGTCAAACGTAACGCCTCTTCATGTCTGCCGATCTGTGCAAGTTTCACAAAAGTACTGTAGGGTCGAACGTACGGCTGCATCGCAAACTATCCTTTCAGGGAGAGAGTGACGTCGCGCTGGCGTTACAGGTGGCGAAGTATAGCCAAAGCGCCTCGAGAACCTCCACAATCGCTGATAAAACAGCCCAGGTAGTTGAATTTTTGAAGGACTTCTAGCTGATTCCAACCAAGGGTCAGCGCAGGAGGAGGTCTCTGCCAATCTTGGAAAAAACATTTTGCACTTTGAGAATGCAAAGCAAAGCCAGCGCTAATCTAACCAGTGCAGTTTGGCAAGGTTGGTTGTTGTCACAGATTAGGGCAATATCGTCAGCCTTCTCCAATTCAAGAAGTCGGTCGCCCGGGAGCAGCTCCACACCTTCTAAGTCGTATGCTGTGAACGCAATCTCTAGGAATTCGTCAATAGCGAAATTAAGAAGGCAAGGTGACAGCGGGCATCCTTAGCTTACACCGCTGGAGATATTGGAGGGCGGTGACAGCTTGTTTTAGGCCCTAAGTCTGCCAGAGCTACGCGCGCTCGGATAATATTTACATATTTCTCGGGCTCACCATTTCTGAGAAGACAGTCGCAAAGGGCACTCCGATCCACTGAATCGAAGGCACCTTTGATATCGTGGAACACGACAACGGTGGGCCGCCAATGTATGTAGAATAAAGATGCGATCGATGCAGCCACGACCCCGACGAAACCCCGCTTACTCCTCACGAATATCGCTATCACGGGCGCCAGTCAGTTTGTGAAAGATTACAGACGCCAGTAATTTGGATCCGAGGGGATCAGACTGATTCCTCTATGGTTTCCGCATTCCGAACGCGAGCCACTCTTGAAGATCGGGACGATGACGGAGAGGCTTCAGTCGGTCGGAAACGTTTTCGGCTCAACCAGTAACTCGTGGAAATCATCCACAAAAGCAGGGCCTCCGAGTCTGAAGGCAGGACGAAGATCATTTGGTTCGATGTCACGTTCGACTTCTGAACGAGAGGGCGGGTCCAAAGGGACAGTCTAGGGAGCAGGGCGATCACTGACCGGTGAGAAATTTGACAATTCGGGCTGATTAAATAGCCTCTGAAAGTGCTCAGCCCAACGCTCCATGCGTTTTGATAAGTTGTGAATTTGCTGCACAATCTCATCGCATTTAGTTTTACTAACACTAGGTCTGTCGCCCGTTTTCCACATCAAACGGGAAAAGTTACAGCGATTAACAAGGACAGTGGACATTTCCATCTCCGACGCACGAAGAGACTATCCGGGTTCGCGGTCTCTCCTCAGGCTAACACGGAGTTTTCCCGGAGCTCTTTGCGAGTTTCATTGTGTTCGCTTCCAGTCGAAATGTGTCGGCGAGCATCTATAAGTTCCAGTGACTGCGAAGAGACCTAATGTCCATGTTGGCTATTAGACTTAGCACATGAGGATTTGGTTGCTGCTAGTATGGTCCAATGAACATATGACCAGTGACCTTTAACTACATTCAGTGAAAGCTTACTCGGTTCGGATGCCAGCGTACTTCGATATGCATTCAGAACATTTGGCTTCGCCAGTTGACTGGTGTCAATGCGCTCGTAGCGTCGTCGTGGGGGTCCGCCAAAACGCATCCGCAGATAAGCACATGCAAGTACATGGTCAGCGTCCACACATGTGCTCCGAATCGAGCGACAGTTTTGGACGCAGCCTCTCTAGCGGTGACTGATCGCAATGTGATCGATTTGCGTCCATGGCTAGTTCGAGGCTGGTGGGAACTATAGCAACCTCCGGCGGGTGTTGTGTGTACAGAACCGTAAAATAATAACGCCAACTCAGTCAAAGAATAGATTTACTATAAAATAAAAGATCCTAATTCTAGTCGGCGTCGGACGAAAAAATACTTCACGAAATATGCCGATATATATATATATATATATATATATATATATATATTTATAATCAGCAGTCTATAAGATAGACATAGAGCCAGCGAAGAGCATGAAACGGAAGTAATAAATACAGAAAACAACAACGAAAAGGAAAGTTGCAAAAAAGTTGTTTTGTATCTTGTCTTTTCTCTTCTTGTTTTTTCCACACGCCGTTTTATCTTTTTTGTCTGTTTACTGTTTGCGATGTAAATCAAGCAAATCAAGACAAACATTTGTACACATTTTCCATTGAGCCCGGTTCTGTGCCATCTCCGAAAGAGTTTCCAGCCAGCGGTGTTCTTCATCTTTGATCCCCCAGCCCGGAAGACGCACGGGACCTAGGGCAGCCAAAATGGAAGTCAGAGCTTTAATCATTTGTCGCCACGTGAGAAGCTGACCCCCGCGCGATTTCTTCCAGCCTAGTCCTATACGAGAGAAGAGAGCGCTTCGGGGCAGCCGTTCGCATGGCATGCATAAAATGTGGCCTAGCCACCTCAGTTGGCTCAGTGGTACCAGTCTGTCAAGTGGAAGTCCCGTGTTACCCAAGACGCGACGTCTAACATCATCGTTGTGTACGTGGTACATCCACTACACTCCAGCTACTCTTCGCAGACATCCATTGTCAAAGGCCGAAATCCGACGCGTCATTAACACAAATCGGCCAGGACTCACTCCCTTACAGCAGCACTGCGCGAACACAGGCATTGTAGACCCTGCCCTTTACCGATAGTGAAACGTCGCGGCGTCGCCACAGATGCCTCAAGTTGGCGAATGTCGAACGGGCTTTGGCAATGCGGAGGGAAATCTCTTTTCCAATGCTACCATCATCAGAGACACAGAGACATTTTCCATTGAGCCCGGTTCTGTGCCATCTCCGAAAGAGTTTCCAGCCAGCGGTGTTCTTCATCTTTGATCCCCCAGCCCGGAAGACGCACGGGACCTAGGGCAGCCAAAATGGAAGTCAGAGCTTTAATCATTTGTCGCCACGTGAGAAGCTGACCCCCGCGCGATTTCTTCCAGCCTAGTCTTATACGAGCGAAGAGAGCGCTTCGGGGCAGCCGTTCGCATGGCATGCA